TGGGATGACTCTAATGTGAGTTGTTAGATTTTTCATCTTAAAAAATTGAAAGAAAAACAATTTTAATTTCAATTTTTTACTTAAATTTGATTTTGGATTTCAAAAAAATCTAAATATACAATCTTTGTTTTTTGAAATATGTGTACATAATACATACGGAATCCAAAAATTAAATGTTTTCAAAAAGACGAATATACGAACTCCTGACACGAGATTAAAGGAATAGGAGGTGGGGTGGGGGGTCGGGGTAGGGCGGGATGAGGGAGCAGGAGAGGGAGAAAAGAAAAGTTTGCGATCGGAATGCTGGAGTGGGAAAGCATCGAACACTACTGGAATGTACGTTCTTTTTTCGTAGCTAATTGTTATGCGCATAATTATTGTTCGGTGGTTGCTATTTGCAGGGCGTAACAGTGGATCGGATTGACCAGAATGTGGGCAGTGCTGTGCACTATGTGGCTACTGGGGGCAAACAAGCACGGGTAGCCGTACAGTATCGACAAGCTGAAATGCGCAAAAAACTATTCTGTGTGGTAGCACTTGCCATCTTCATTCTTGTACTTTTTTTAATTATCACCATCTTTTTCGCTACTCGTTAATTTTTTTTTTCCTGTTTCCATATGCGATTTTTTGCAAGCTCTGCAACACCACTGATAGGGTTACCGTAGAAACAAATAGTCAAACTCACAGGATGCAAACGGAATTTCTAGATTTTTGGCCTAATGAAAAGGACAGATTTTGAAAAATCAGCTCATTTTCACTTCGGACATGAAACCGATTTCGTCTAAATTTTTAACAAAATAAACAAAAGAATAAAATTTTTCTCGAATTTCTTCTCTTTCAAATCCGAAATTATGAATGTGGAACCGTCCTGCACGACAAAGCAGAAATTTTTTGTAACCTTTTCTTGTTACGAAATTTGAACCAAAATTTATTACTCCGCATATCTTACACCCGAGAATTCGCCGAAAAGTCTGCACTAGGTTGATTTATAAATCTAATTTTCAAGTAATTAGATCTAGGCATCAACTAGCTAATCAATGAAAATGGTTGAACGAAAGGGAGAAAAGGAAGAGAAAAGCCTATGAGCTGAAAATTACGGATAGTGAACGAGAAAAGAGTTGTGTTGATTCTGAGGTGTTGTAGGGAAGCATAAAAAATTCTGTTGTCCTAACCTGTGTAACTTCTCCTGCGTCTTAGCTTTAAGCACAACGTGTATCAATATACGCATTAATTTTGCTCATCATCTTCCTCTTTGCTGCAAATGCAAATTTTGCCCTTGAAAATCCGTGTCTATTTGCTCAGAAAATGAGTTTAATACTCTAATTTAAATATGGAATTAATACTCTATTTTTAAATTTTCAACTAATACTCATCTCTAACTAATGTCATCTTTTCAATCTTGTCTTAGAAATTAGTAGTATGCT